AATTCCACATGAAGCTTGTAATTACACCCTTTGCACACATGCATTTATGCCCCCAAACGTTTACCAACCACATGAACCCTATATGTGTCTGCGTTCATGCCCGAAAGCCTGATAAATCGTATAGACCTGACACGCGCCTCTATTCCACTCCCCCGACACCTTATGCACTTGTTCAAGCCCTTCTACGCTTTATGAATCCAATATCCACTTTGCAACTTATGCCCCCAAACCCTGTTGAATCTTATGCATCCTCTACATACCTACATCTATGCCCCTAACCCCTATCGACCTCATGAAGCTGATATGTTTTGTGTTTAGGCCAGGAAGGCATTGGGTGATAGTGTACTTCACATGCACAGAGGGTCGAAGCAATGCACCATAGGGGTGTATAAGGATATATAGGGTCAATAGTGATCTGTGGGGTTCCGAGTTACAGGGCCCACAGGATAGTCAACATAGTGGAGAATTGAATGGAAAGGAAATGGACAGCAGGGTTCATGCAGGGGTTTGACGGGCATTGTGATGTAGGGGTGTGCAAACAGAATATGATTTCGGGCATATGCCATAATTGTATCAGGCTTGTCTGGAGCCAGCATGCATCCTCAGCCCGCATTATACAGTACCCAGTCATTGAGTATTTTGGACTTGTGTACTATGACGGTACATGTTTCTGGAAGTACATGATGATCTGATGCGGGACAGGTTTTCCGCCACTTGTATAAGACACTCGCAGCCTTCCAAGAGCGTCACCGCGCAAGACTTGCAACGAGTCATAACAACCCAACGAAAGCTCGCACCCCCATCATTGAACCTGCATCATGAGTATGTTATGAGACATCTAGCCAAACGCTCAAGCCTGAAACCAACGCCCCAGAAGCTTATTGGCTTCAGGGTAAACCCAAAAGTCTAACGCTTACTCGACGTGAATAGCGAATGTGGGTTACATTAAGGCCGAAAATGAGGACCCTATGATTATCACACGGCCGATGTAGCTTGCCTATCATGGGGATTGAGGGGTCGCCAAATCGTCTTGCTCTTGGACCGTGCTGTCCCCGTGAAACACTACACAAACACAGTTTCCATGTTCCACATTCTAATCCACCTGCTTCTCCACCATTCTACTTATTTGCGTAGTCCCAAAAGCCTTAGTTCAAAATCTTAGCTCATAGAGTAGCATACATATATAGATCTAAAGCCTACTTCAAGGTTCATGGTGTTTACTAGCTAGTTTTTGCTGGGTTATGAGCCTACTTGTAGTAACCGCAACGGGCCTTATGCAGGTATCACACAGGTACACGTAATTCCCGCGCCCCATGAACCTCTGAGTATATATTTCCAACCAAAGGGTTTACCTGGACCCCAAAAGTATGTAACATGATGACCTTTATATGGCTGTAAGTATGGGTTTAGGGCTATTATTTTCCATACTTTGGGGGTTTAGGTAGGGTTTAGGGTCAAACTCACTGCCCAGGCCTTGGCATCACCCGGAAGCGAAACAGCAGCATTGTCTCGGTCGTGTCCGTGCGCTCTGGGCGCTCAGGGCGGCGCTCTTAGTTCTGGGCCGTAGGCTTGGGGTTAATCTGAGGTTAGAAGTATGGGCC